GACATTTACCAAGTTAAATACTACCATGTTCACTACAGTATACACAACCTTAGTAAGAACTAAGATTGAGAACTGCGTTCAAGCTGCAAGCCCATGTTTAAAAGGTGACTCGGATATCCCTGAAAAAGTACAGAGGGCAGCTATTCGTACAATTCTGGAACTCCAGGGTGTACCATAAAAAGAGCGGCTTTAAAAGCTAGATCTATTTACTATGTTCTATTGCAGATTAAGTGATGATCTGAGTTTGATGAATAGAAAACTAAGAAATGATTTTGGACTTAACATATCCTCTGTTTTTCTTCCCACTAGATCGGGACATCTCATAGGATATAGCAGTCGAATAGAAAAGCCGAGAACGAATTGTAGCGGTAAATAAATCCCCAAAATAAATAGCTCTAAGTTTTCGACATTGGATGCTGACCATATGTTTTAGTGGACTTATCTAGCTGAAGGCGCTCGGTCATGCATCCGCACCAGGTCACGTGTGGTAATGCTGTGCTCAACATCAACCGCAATCGCTAGCCAGATTAGATCAGAGAATTCCGATATATTGGTCATCGCCAAATATACTCTTCCGATCTCCTCGACTCTGTCTTTTGATTTCTCTGGGTGGGAACGAAATATATTAGAAGGTGTTACTGGTAAAAGTGTTGTCAAACACTGAACACCTGTGACATCATCATTGGTGAGACCGACGTGATCTGGTACACCTTATTGCAACTGTGAGTCTGTTCCTTTTTGGGATTTTTATTTATCGTTGCCTTATTTTTTATTTTTTTTAAACATTGTGATTTTTTTTCGTGTTTTTTCTTGGATATATATACTTTTTCCCCTCGTTCATTATCGTACTTCATACTTCATCATGACTGAACAGATACCTAAAGTACTCAAGCTTAAGACTTTGTCCCCGCCTTCGTTTCAACTGATGCCTTTCTGGCCCGACAACATCGAAGCCTGGTTTTGCTACGCAGAAGCCGACTTCTCCGAGCACGGCGTGATCGACACACGTGCACAATTCCTCGCAGTAGTCAAGGCACTACCGAGCGAATTCAACAGGTACGTAACACCTAGTATGTTTACTAGTGATGTTTCCGATCATACGAAATCTTAAAACGCTTGATTCTTAAACGAGGAGACCTAACCGATCGACAAAGGTTAGACCAACTCTTCAATAACATCGACCTGCAACACGGTTCTGCGACGGACATGTTGCAACGGATGAGAGGTAATAGGTCCAAGAACTTTCGACGAAGGTCTATTCAAACAACTCTTGTCAAAACTTCCCCAACAGGTGCAAGCAGTTCTGGTCTCGTTTCAGAACAATGCCCTAGACGAGCTAGATGCATCTGCCGACCGCATTTTAGAAATTACGAAGTCTTCTACGACAGAGGTTTTTTCAGTCAAAGAAAAGCCTCAAGCGACTCAGAATGACATAACCGAGTTATGTCACACATTCACGCGTTATCTTTATCTTCGTACCGACCGTAGTCGCTCGCGCACTCCACGTAGAAACATTTCACGTAAGCGATCTGTCTCTAGACCACGGGAGACAGATAACCCCGACTGGTGATGGTATCAAAACCAGTATGAAAAGTCTTCCAGAAATTGCAGAAAACCCTGCAATTTTCCCAACACGAAACCGACTGACTCGAAAAACAACTCGGGAAAATTCCAAGCCGGCACGCGTTAACGGCAGCCGTAGCCGGTTGTCACAGTTGTGACAACGAGAGTTCGCTACCTCGTCGACACTGGCGCAGAAGTTAGCGTTCTCCCAGCGAATCCCAACGATCGGCCTCAAGAATCATCTCTAAACTAACAGGCGGCAAACGGAAAACCGATCGCTACGTATGGCAAAAGGTACGTTTACCTTAACGTGGGTTTACGCAAACCCATTCACTGGATTTTCGTTGTTGCAGATGTTTCTATGCCAATCATTGGTATGGACCTTCTACAACACCATAATCTGATCATCGATACGCGCAAACGGAGACTAGTAGACGGAAACACTAATTTGTCCGTTTGCGTAACTTCCTTCACTGGTTGCAGATTATCCCCAGTCACAATTAAGCATATGATAGACCCACTCTATCAGCCACTTCTCGATAAGTACCCTGGAATACAACAAACTCAACCGAAACGACCGTGTGTAACCAGCAACGTTACACATCACATCACGACTACAGGACCACCTGTATTTGCTAAAGCACGACGACTAGCTCCTGAAAAGCTGAGGTTGGCGAAAAACGAGTTTGACCATATGATAGACCTAGGAATCATACGACCGTCAAGTAGCCCATATGCATCTCCGTTGCACATGGTCCCTAAAAAGGACAGCAACGATTGGCGTCCAACTGGTGACTATCGGCGATTGAACGCGAAAACCATTCCCGATCGTTACCCGTTGCCTCACATTCACGATTTGACAGCTACCTTGAAAGGTACAACTGTCTTTTCGAAAATCGACTTGGTTAAAGCGTATAACCAAATCCCTATGGCTACTGACGACATACCGAAAACAGCTATCATAACTCCTTTCGGACTCTATGAATTTTTGCGAATGCCTTTCGGTCTAAGGAACGCTGCTCAAACATTCCAAAGATTCATAGACGACGTTTTTCGAGGTCTCAACTTCGTACATGCGTATGTTGACGACTGTCTAATCGCAAGTCCGGACAGAGAAACACATCTCAAGCATCTGGACCTTGTTTTCGAACGATTACAAAAACATGGCATTACTGTAAACGTTCAGAAATGCCAATTTGGAACCGACTCATTAGACTTTCTGGGACACACTATCGATGCTCAAGGTATCCGACCTCTTCGGACCAAAGTGGCGGCCATTCTGGATTACCCAGAACCGACCACCGTCAAGTAATTACGCACGTTTAACGGCCTGGTAAGTTTCTATAGACGTTTCATACCCAAATTCGCATTACTTATGAAACCTCTGACCGACCAACTTCGTGGAAATGCGAAATCCATTAATTTAGACGACACCGCACGAAAAGCATTCTCCACTGTTAGGGAACTGATCGCTAAAGCAACAATGCTCGCACATCAGGACACCGAAGCACCCATTAGTATCGCAGTAGACGCATCCGACTCGGCAATCGGAGGAGTCTTACAACAATGGGTTATCAACTCCTGGCAACCCTTGGCGTTTTGCTCTTGACGGTTGCTAGACACCGGATCGAGGTACAGCACATTCGGTAGGGAACTCCTAGCTATGTATTGTGCTGTACGGCATTTCCAACACTATATCGAAGGCCGTGAATTCACTCTTTTCACGGACCAGAAACCGCTCACTTTCTCGTTAAGCTCTCCTTCTGAAAAGTACTCTCCCCGTGAGTCTCGACAACTGGACTACATTTCGCAGTTTACTTCAGATATTCAACACATCTCTGGAGCAAACAGTGTAGTTGCAGACGCCTTATCTCGCATAACTTCCTTGAACAGTTTCCAAGGAATCGACCTTCTTAAACTCGCCGAGCTTCAAAAAGAAGACGCTTGTTTCGAGCATGTTCATTTGGATTTGGGAGTATTTTTACCAGATTCAAATGGATACTCTTACCTCTTAACCCGCGTAGACCGTTTCACTCGATGTCCAGAAGCAGTACATATCAAGGACATTACTGCTGAAACAGTGGCCCGCGCTTTCGTCGAATGATGGGTAGCAAACTTCGGCTGCCCTTCAACCATCACACCAGATTGTGGACGTCAGTTCGAATCTGAACTTTTCCGTTGTCTGACCACACTTTTAGGAACCACCGCTTCCGAACGACTGCCTACCACCTACAAGCAAACGGGTTGGTAGAACGTTTTCACTGACAACCAAAAGCTTCACTATCAGCTGCAAACGTTTCACAGTGAACCGACGCTCTTCCACTCGTCTTACTGGGTATCCGCAATGCAGTGAAAGCTGACATTGGATACACTGCGGCTCAACTCGTTTATGGAACGACACTTCGACTTCCAGGAGACTTCGTGGATCCTTCATCTTCTTCAATGAACATGGATCTAACGAACAGGCTTACAAACGCAATGCGTTCAGTTAAACCTGCTTCCACTCGACCACAACCAGTCGATGTTTTCTTTCAACTGGACTTACGATATAGTACACACGTTTTCGTTCGTCGAGACTCGCATCGACGACCATTCGAATCAGCATACGAAGGACCCTTCAAAGTTCTTCAACGTGAATCTAAGTACTATATAGTCGACAAGAACGGAACCAACGATAGCATCAGCATCGATCGCCTCAAATCAGCGTATTTAGAAGGAAATCCTATCTACGCCGATTTTCCTCTGGTACAATCGAACAACACGACTCCTACACTCATAATTCCTCAACCGACAACCGACACTAGCGATGATACTCCGAATGTATCTGAAAATATACCTAAAACGACGCGTTCTGGAAGAAGAGTAAGATTTCCAGAACATCTAAACGACTACTGCACGTAAGGCACTACTCGACATTTTATATTATCTCGATCTTTCTTTTTACGGTATATAATTTTTTTAAAAAAAAGACAATTTTAATATGCTTATATATTTATATTTTTATTTAAAAAACAAAACATAAAAAAACATTTTTAACGCTATTACGTGTGCTTGAGTATATTTTCCATTTTTTTGCCGACATTCTGTTTTTACGCACATACGAGTGTATTTCGACATGCACTTACACTTTCCTTTTCTTTTCCAGGACGGCTGAAAAAGAACGATGCAGTTTACGAGGAGTCGAAATTTTCGTCGTAACTTTTTCTGTTTTTACTATGTTGTACCTCGGTCCCATATAGTAAGGAAAGACGACCAGACGCTGCTACACTTAGTAAGCTATCAGAAGAGTGTTTACCAACGACAAACACGTTGGGTTTAAACTTCTGGCTGGTCATGTCTTAGGGTCGTCACTACCCCACTAGGGGGGGAGTGATCTGTAGCGGTAAATAAATCCCCAAAATAAATAGCTCTAAGTTTTCGACATTGGATGCTGACCATATGTTTTAGTGGACTCATCTAGCTGAAGGCGCTCGGTCATGCATCCGCACCAGGTCACGTGTGGTAACGCTGTGCTCAACATCAACCGCAATCGCTAGCCAGATTAGATCAGAGAATTCCGATATATTGGTCATCGCCAAATATACTCTTCCGATCTCCTCGACTCTGTCTTTTGATTTCTCTGGGTGGGAACGAAATATATTAGAAGGTGTTACTGGTAAAAGTGTTGTCAAACACTAAATACCTGTGACATCATCAAAATAAAGTACCCGTCGCATACAGGTTTTCACACCGAGTCATCAATAGTTGGAACCTGCTGCCCGAAGCAGTGGTGTCCACAACTTCAATTGACTCTCTCAAGAGAAGATTGGACACTCACAGAAGCATACGTGAAAACGAATAACATAGGCCGTGGGTTTTCTGTCCTTACTACACAGATCTGAATCTGAATCTGAACTATCCAAACCGAAACGGAAACAAATATCTGTTGAAACCCACTCAGCAATTATTTGGTGACTTGGTTTTCTATCCCTGAGCAAGTGGCTATAAATCCTTTCATAGATACATATAATGGCAAATTTAATGTTTTGAGAAGTTTCCAATACGACAGAGAAGACCAAACTTATAATTGAGTGCGAGGTCGATTTATTAGATGCGCTACGTATGCCATGCCTGAATTGCCTACCGGTGATGTGAATATCCTAAAGGAGACAAAAGTGAGTTTAGCTTATTTTTGTAAGACAATCAGTAATGCGCACAAACGTTGGTTATCTTGGTAGTGCAGTTAAAATGTCTATTCTTCAGGTTCTCGTACCTAAAATCGAAGTTATATTTTAATGCTAGGTGCAAAAAATCACAGAGCAAATGGCCAAGTCATCCATCAAACAGTGCGAAGTGAAGTACAATTTAAAAGTTCCAAAGGTAATACCTGAAATTCCTCTGATTGAAATAGGGAACAAAAGATCGGGATCCCCTCCAAATGACAATTCTTGAAGGTGTTTTTAATACAATAATACGGTGTTTCAAGCGTCATGATGCGGTCACTATAGACACCCCTGTTTTTGAGCTCAAGGTAACTTCAGACGTTTCGAGTTTTACAGGAATTAGGAAGTGCTAGCTGGGAAGTATGGCGAAGAATCTAAACTCATATACGATCTTCAGGATCAAGGCGGCGAGGCGCTTTCTCTTAGATATGATTTAACCGTATGTTAGAATTGTTGTTTATGATGCAGTAAAGGTCCCATTCGCCCGTTATGTTGCCATGCATAAGATTAAATCTATCAAGCGATACCAAATTGGAAAGGTTTATCGGCGTGATCAACCGGCTATGTCGCGCGGTCGTTACCGGGAGTTTTACCAGTGTGTAAGTAAATTACTACAAGTTTTACTTTTCGAAGTCACTTAATTTCATTGTTGTGTCTGTCTAGTGATTACATTTCGTTACCATTCCGCCTTTGTTGCGACAAGGTCGGGTGTTTAGTTGTCTGTTGGGTTTGGTTGGTTCCCATATTCGGTTACCACATTTGCTCCTAATAACCTAGTTTACTCTCTGCATGTCTTCTGAGATTTCAGGGCTGCAAATCAATAATAATTAAAATTATTCGAACTAAACATTTGCGAGACCCGTGCTCAACTCTATAACCTGCTTTGCAACTCAATGAATTGTTTTCCGTGTTTTCACGAAAACTAGGGTTATCGTTAATTAAACGCCTACCTGCATGACCTTAAGTACGCATCAGATTAGGATACCAAGTAGTGTAGTATAATTATTGATGTCCTGGAAGTCAGTTTCGTGCACTCTTTCAACAATGTTAAAGATTCCTATTGAGAAAATTAGAACAATTGTTTTCAATTAGATCGTCATCACGCTTTACTCTAATATACATGAATATTTATACGAAAATGTTAAAACAATCAAGGCAATATGGGTCAATAATCACAATGAAATAGAATAGGTCATCACACGCAATAAGTAAAATTACAAGTTGATAGTAGGAAGACAAGTGTACTGATAATAGTAAGAATAATAAAATATGATAACAAAAGTCTTATCAATAGTTAAACGTTGGAAATAGAAGGTCAAACGTGGGTAAATAGACTTGGAATAGTCATCACAAAACATTAAAATCATTACGTGATAAGAAGTGTGTAAATAATTAGGTAGTGAAGAATACAAACGGCAAGAGGCGGAAAATTACAAACAAATACTAGATGTGGAAATAAGGCTAGTGATAACGAAAATAGAATAGAATAAATGAATAATAATGATTTTTTTAAAAATCGTTAGTTAAGTTATAACTGGCCATGGAAGGGATAGGGCGGTTACGAATTTCTTATGTACACATAAATTGGGGTTATATGTACGAATTCCTATAGCTTCAGCTATATGTAGGAGGCGGGAACGAACTCCGTTGGGAAATGATGGAGGTATACGATAGATCACTCGAAATGATTTTTATTTATCTACAGCATGACCTCTATCGATGAGATGTGCCAAGATAGAACTGCGAATTGTTTTTATTTGGCCTTTTCTAAACCAAGCTGGCAGATGTTCACTCATTTGTTGGTTAAGTTGCCTGGTAGTACGCCCGATATAGCTATCCACCGGAGCAGCCGAATTCGTAAATGCACATTAAGGGGGCCAACTCAGGTAACCTATCCTTCGTTTGCGTAGACATCGCTAGTCGACAAGGGAAAGTCAACGCAAGATTGGCTGCGTAGAATGACCTGGTGATTACTTTAGTTAACCTATATTTCAGAGTATCACTAGCCACATACCCGTTAAATTGTAGTTTCATGTCTGCTTGCCAATATACTCACTTCCGCAGTTTCACACCTATCCGCTACAAGAGAAATTTGGTTAGATGTCTCACTAGCAGAGCTAAAAAGATCTGCACAGTAGACACTCTAAGTCAGGAGCTTGAATTCATCAACAACTCACTGACCGAGATCGGCTACCCCAGTGCTTTCATTAAGAAGTACATGTATGACATAATAAAGAAGTTGGAGATTTCGACTGTTCGTAAGAAACCATGATACATGAAACTACAATTTAACGGGTATGTGGCTAGTGATACTCTGAAATATAGGTTAACTAAAGTAATCACCAGGTCATTCTACGGAGCCAATCTTGCGTTGACTTTCCCTTGTCGACTAGCGATGTCTACGCAAACGAAGGATAGGTTACCTGAGTTGGCCTCCTTAATGTGCATTTACGAATTCGGCTGCTCCGGTGGATAGCTATATCGGGCGTACTACCAGGCAACTTAACCAACAAATGAGTGAACATCTGCCAGCTTGGTTTAGAAAAGGCCAGATAAAAACAATTCGCAGTTCTATCTTGGCACATCTCATCGATAGTGGTCATGCTGTAGATAAATAAAAATCATTTCGAGTGATCTATCGTATACCTCCATCATTTCCCAACGGAGTTCGTTCCCGCCTCCTACATATAGCTGAAGCTATAGGAATTCGTACATATAACCCCAATTTATGTGTACATAAGAAATTCGTAACCCCCTATCCCTTCCATGGCCAGTTATAACTTAACTAACGATTTTTAAAAAAATCATTATTATTCATTTATTCTATTCTATTTTCGTTATCACTAGCCTTATTTCCACATCTAGTATTTGTTTGTAATTTTCCGCCTCTTGCCGTTTGTATTCTTCACTACCTAATTATTTACACACTTCTTATCACGTAATGATTTTAATGTTTTGTGATGACTATTCCAAGTCTATTTACCCACGTTTGACCTTCTATTTCCAACGTTTAACTATTGATAAGACTTTTGTTATCATATTTTATTATTCTTACTATTATCAGTACACTTGTCTTCCTACTATCAACTTGTAATTTTACTTATTGCGTGTGATGACCTATTCTATTTCATTGTGATTATTGACCCATATTGCCTTGATTGTTTTAACATTTTCGTATAAATATTCATGTATATTAGAGTAAAGCGTGATGACGATCTAATTGAAAACAATTGTTCGCTTATATGTGTTGTTCATAATTAATGCATACAGTTCTGGCCCGTTCGTTGTTGCTACCTAGATGTGGTGGTCGGGCTTGCCTTTCATGATCAAGGAATCGAGCTATACTGGCTGGAACAATCATTCATCAAGGTCCCCCCATACCAGACAGGTTGGTTAAAGAACGGGAAAACTAAAAGCAGCAAACGCAAGGTTATGTTTTTCGTCCTAATTTTTTGTTTCATATTTAGTACTGCATCATACCTCTAAACTGTGGTGTAATACTTAGGGTGTTTGACTTTACCTAAAATACGGGTTAGCGTAGAGTAATACCTTGAATGTTAATCCACATTCACTCCTCTCATACACAGGAGAGATATATGAAAATATTTAATACTCGTTTTATAGCTCACTAGCCTTTATATTTTTCCCTCGTTATCATTTCGTCTTCATCTATTCAGGCTCTTCTCTTATTGTGATGCTTGAGACATGCTAAAATGACACGTATATCTATATTAAGTCAATGTACCAAGTGCAACAAATACATAAACGATATACAAATTATAATCGTAAGTTAATAATGAGTAAGGCGATGTTGCACAGTCGGTAAGTTCGGGTTTCACTTTGTTTACCATCTATTTAAAACTCAGCATTACATTCTTCCACAAATGGTTTCTCATTTTCCAGGATTTCGATATTGCTGGAGATCATGGGCTAATGTTGGCGGATGCAGAATGCCTTCGAATAATATACGAAGTGCTTTCAGAATTGGATTTAGGCGATTTTGTCATAAAGATCAACCACAGACGTTTGCTTGATGGATTGTTTTCGGCTTGTAATGTGCCATCAGATAAGTTTGTTTCAGCTTGTTCCTCAGTTGACAAACTAGACAAGGTAGGTATTAGATTTGTTCAGTTACCATTTTTTAGATTTCTTTATGTAACAAAACGAAGAAAATATAATGACCAGCCATGGGTTTATCTACTAAGTTATGGAATAAACCTGTAGTTAGACCTAACAATATTATTTTGCTCAAACCTTAATTAATAAAAGAATCCGAACCTGTAACTTGAGTTCCTAAATCTACATACCAGCTTCACATGACATTTCTGTGCATTGTAAAGTCTACGTTAATATCCATATCAAGGTTATCATTGATTCAACCTATTTTTCATGGTGTTCAGCTAGGCATGTTTTTAATCTGTGCGTCTAGAGAATCTGCGTCAAGCATATTCATTAGATCTTAAGTTTAGTATTTCAATACCTAGAAAACATTCGTGGAAGCACTCCGTTTCGTAATTTATTTTCGGAATGTTCTGCAATATTTTCCATATTCCTTGATGTAGTGCTTTTGGCATTCTTAATTATTCAAACTTAATTCTGGTTTTAGTCTCATTAAGAATGCCGCTGCATATTTGTTGTTATATTACTACACTCAAGATATAATTATCTATAATAAATATTATAAATTATCATCAGAAACTAAGCATGATTACGATTCTACGCCCCCCAAAATGAAGTTACTGAGTAACTTTTTAATCAGCCCGATACCTTTCTGTTCCTCTGATTAACTTATATTTAATATTCACTGGCAAAGTTTTATGCACTTAATTAGTGAATTTTGTGAGTGTAAAAGCAACCATACATCGATAGGGAAGCAGTTCATTTTCTTGCGATAAAAAATTAACGTCATATAAAATTGTATAGCCGAATAATACATGAAGTGAATGGCTTGATACTCCATTGTTCCAGTTACAAAAGAATTAATCACATTTTGTAGAATTAAATTGTCTCTGCGATGGAATCGCACATTTATGTTGAATGTGACGACGCGATTTAGAACTAAATCATACGAAATAACTTGACATTGATCACATTACTACTTCTGGTAAAATAACTAGTTAACACTATTGGTTCATTTTACAAAGAATTCTTCATCCAGTCATTTTCTACGTTGAAACACTGGTATAGGGTGCTGATGTCATGTAAATCACATTTGTTGACAGATAACTTGTTTATCGACATACTATATTTCTTTACTGCTTATTTGTTGTTACGATATACTTGGTACCCCGAAACTATTTACGTATATTTGTGATACCTTTGATAAGTCATTATTCTTGATGAAAATAAGGGTAAATGGGTCTCTTTACTTCTAGATTAATGGTATTACGCAGTAGCAATCCATGTACTCAAACTTGGACCACACAATCTTCGCAAGAGCTAGTGACACTACTTGGATGAAGTTCATACTTACAATACTATAATTAAAAGTGGAGTACTCTAAATGGAATGTTTGCTTCACTTATTTCAATATAATAGGTTGTTAGTTCAGTAATAAGTTCCATTTAGATAAAATGATTCTTTTGAACTTCTAGAAAAATGTCTATAAAATCTAATAGATTTTGAACCAGAAGTGACTTTAACAACTGTTATGGGAGGTTGCGAATTAAGTGTTTGTATGATGAACCCAGTACAGTGATAGTGTAACAGTCAGTACTTAATAAATCAGTGTTAGTGTTTAGTAGCCGGGATTTTTACATGATATGAACGTGGACACTAGCATCGGAAATTCCACACGTGTCTAAAACAATCACGCCTTTTGATTTTAAGATCATTGTATATATGTTTCTTCAACCTATTCATAATTATTTCTTCTGTTTCCAAGATCCGAGGATTGTGGTGCTGAAACTTAAATAAAGGAAACTTACAGCAATTATTGAAATAGTACTGCTTTGATATAGATGCATTAGTTAACAGTCTTGCGTAATTTACCCCGTTAGGGTTTCAGTTTTATATTCTGTTGGTTAAATCCATTTTTAGTTATATATATTTAAAGCTTTTCTGTGGATTTGTGCAACATTATAGATCAGAAGATTTTGTGCATTTGAATAAATATATTCATACCAACCTTTGTGTTCATGAACCTTGTCTGTAAGTCGCATTCATCTTGCATTTTCTAGATTCCTTGGGAAGATGTCAGACGGGAATTATGTGAAGACAGAGGGTTGTCACCTGAAGCTGCAGATAAAATTGGTTCGTATGTTCAGCTAACTGGAGGTTTGGATCTAGTTGAACGTCTCGAATCAGATGAGCATCTTAATAATCAACCATCAGCTAAAGCCGCTCTTCAGGAAATGAGATTATTATTAGACTATTGTAAAGCACTTGGGATAGAAGAGCGAATTAGCTTCGATTTAAGTCTAGCGCGCGGGTTGGATTACTATACCGGTGTTATTTACGAAGCTGTTTTGAAAGGTTTGTCCAATGAGCTTATCAAATGTTTCCATGTTTCAGTAAAGATTTTAGTAAAACAAAAATGTATTGTAATTTTGCTAGAGTTGTGTTTTCTGTAATATATAGTTTGTTTGTACAGCTTTTATCATCCTTCAACAAAACAAGCACCTAAAAATGTGTGAGCTCTGATAATCTTATAAATAACTCATCAATGTGACTATGTTAATTGTGTTGCTGTCATTCGTACAACTTATGATTAACTATTTTCTTGACCTTTTTCCGTTAGATGCTCGTATAATGACAAACTTACTTACAGAAGCAAGTGCTAAGCTTCTAAGAGTTTGTTAAGAACTGTTTACATTTCTCACGTTTTTATCCTACTGAAATCTGCCTGCTTGCGTGATTGCTAGGTTAGGCATATAGAGACAAATAGCCGGTGTATAGTTCTTCGTTGTCTTGTTAAGGATTTTAAGTGTATTTATTTATTAGATAAAGTGGCTAGGGCTTTAAAATTGAGTCTATAATTACCAGCTGAATCGATGCTAATTAGCTAGCTATAACAGTTTTTTTCCGTACTAATATAATCAAGCAGTTAAATAATAAGGAAATAATTGAAATGACCTTCGTAAGTTTTGTTCTTTTTTGATGCTACAAACCACCGCTTTCCATGAATTACTGTCTCAACGAAACCACTAGTCACATCCTCAGTTTTAAAAAAGGACTATAATCAATATTTATTCCTGTTTAGTTTACCAATTTCATTGATTCCATACTTTTAATTAAGCATTTGTTTAAATCTTGTTCTCGTACACGACTATCTTCATTGGTTACTTTGGTTCATCTAGTTATGCATTTTTTACGTTGTTATGGCCCTAGATCTGTTTCCAGTTAAATCGTTTCTGATTGTTATTGAAATATACATCCTGGCTACTCTCGTATATAATGATCAACTTAAATCGCGTTAGTGAATAACGAAATTAAATAAGTCAAATACGAGAACGGAGTTTTAAATACGTTTATTTCGTAAAGTTGATCTGCACAGAAAATCGGGGAGACAGCGAAGGAAGCGAATGGGAGAGAGAAAAGCAGGACTAAATGACGCTCGGTGAAAAGGCGAGCGAGCCAACTCAATTTAACCAAGCGTGAATCAATATTTATAGTCAGACCAAAAATAAGTTATAGGCATGTGATGAGTAGGAAAACCAATGTATGCACATACACTCATAAAAAGTCAAGGTTGATAAGCGAATAATTAACAAGGTCAAAATGTACCTTGAGAAGAATGGATGAATTGGTTAGTTCAGAAGCTAGAATAAGCTATGTGGGCTTGACATAGGATCAGCCACTACAATGTCTCCTGTGATTGAGGTGTTCGACTTTCGGCCAATAAGCTCCTGGTTCGAACCCTCCCCCACCTAATTTGGTTTGGGAAACCGGGTAGCGTGATTAGTCCTTATCATTAGATTGTGGCTTATGCCCAAATACCTGATGAACAAATTAATCATAAATTATTATTTTGTTAGTCTCCCATAATTTTTATGCTTACTGATCTGTCTAATCAATTACATATTTAAATATCTGGTTCGTGAAGTATTTTCCAAGCAAGAATTGTCACCAGTAGATATTCTGTGTACATGGATATTAATAATAGACTCTGAGAAATTGCTACACATATAGAATCTGATTCTTTGTGACTGTGAAGGTTTTTGAAGTAATAAAGCCGATTAGTATATTTCTCGGTAACATACATCATCGGTTCATACTAGTAGTGGTAGAGGCAAACTGATAATAAATCAGTCGAGAGTAAGATTATTGATTAATTCAGTATGATAGTCATTGAGGTTTATTGATTTGATAAGCGGATCTTGGACTGTTTGAAAGAAAAAATACTGATCAATAGACGATGGGCAATGATACGATAGGGATGGACGAACTATTGACTTGAGCCTCCAAGTTATTCGATATTAAAGACAAGGCTACCATATAGAAAGAAATTTTTTTTACACGATAATGTGACGTGGTTAAGCATAAAATATTAATCCGAAAAAAAATTTCATATCGGGTTGAAGGGAATCAGTGTGTAGATCATTCACTCCCCAAGCAATTAAAACCTGACTTCCAGACCTAATTCTTAACTGCCATATCAATCTCGGTTATTAATCATTTCAGTACGTCACTCTACTGTATTCTGATAATCTTTGTGATGTGTTTACTCAGTTTTGCTATTTTTCTGTATGAAAATGTAATTAATAATTACTGAAAGGAAGATCTGCATATGAACGTGGTATTTTTCCGGAAAATATATTCTTTGTAGTCTAAGTCCAGGCTTATCTTTTTCACCTTTCCAATAGTCAGGGCGTGCATTAAGAGTGCTTTATTGAACAGTAGTCGCGTGCGTTGCTATACTATTGTGTTTATGTTTTTCCGATTGTGTAGCAAATAAAAGGTCATAATATAAACAAAAATATAGATAATTCGACACCCTTTCATCTGTTTATTTTAAACCTGATACGATGCTCAAAGTTTAGTTCTAACAGTCAGGCCTTAACTAATTGGATATTAATTGACATACAAGCTAATTTCCTCCAATCGCCTATGAAATTTTATCAGGTTTATTTTGTGTTCATGTTTTTTTATGTAAACATGCTATTTTATTACATAGAAAACTATTTATATGGCTAGTGGTATTGTTTTCGATTTATGATCTTTCGTGAACTTAAGTCAATAATAAGGTGTCATGAGCAGCCATTATTTGACCACCATAACGTTTATCTATCGGTTCGCATTCTATTCGTTGATCTCAACAATCGAGAATTTCTTTTAATTAAATTGCAGAAAACCTCTTCGACAACAAAGCCTTTTGTTAGTAGTTATACGGAACGTAGAACCTGTTACATATATTCATCGGTGCAAGTTCCCACACTGCATCAACACGAACTGAACTAGTGTCAGGCTTTATGTTGTTTATGGTTGACTGACTGGCTAATTATTGCTGTCTTGTTGTTTGTAAGTACTTGCTACAGCCCAGTTTGTTTATTGACACCTTACCGTGCACAATTTATTGTATATGGGACAGATTCTTTTCTATCATTGCGTTTCTACGTGTTAGACGCTCACTGACTATGTTTATGGATCATATCATAGATAAAAACACTATTTCAAAGGTTATTATAAATTCAATAAAATGTATTCGTAGCCTACTTTGACCTCTCTTTGGCCAAAAATACAATCCAATATTTAAATGAAATCCACTGTTTGTTTCACATAACAGGTTTCACTTACAATCCAAGTAATTCAGGTGCAGAATTGACTGGTTCTAATGAAACTAACTTAAACTCCTCTGTAAAAAATAAAAAATCAAGTAAAAAGGATAAGAAAGCCAAAGAACAGTTAGATGATGATTTTGTTACACCTGGCGAATCCATGACTGTTGGTAGTGTAGCTGGTGGTGGCCGTTACGATGGTTTAGTTGGAATGTTCGATTCTTCTGGAACACGAGTTCCGTGTGTTGGTTTTAGTTTTGGTGTTGAACGACTATTAGCAATTAAAGAAGCTTTGAGTAATTCTTCAAATAAGAATAAGTGTAACGTGCGACCAACTGAAACTGAAGTCATGGTTGCTGGAGCTCATAAGGGTCTTATTATGCAACGTTTACAATGCTGTCAACTCTTATGGAATGCAAAAATTAAGGTAAGCGTTTCGTTCTTAAGTTTCATTTGATTGACTCAAATGTCTTAATGTTAATATAAGTAACAAAATATATTCTTAATCTATTTTGCAAAAGGAACAGTCTCATAACATTAAGAAAACGAATTACTTCTTGTCATATTGACAAACAGTTACAACCAGACAATCCAGTACTTAAATAACATCAATCTTTCAAATTTTTTAACTAGAATTATGAAGAAGGAATCTCCCTTTGAATGTTATCTTGTACTTTCCGTTTGTTAATTTTATTCCTGCTTTTAAAATTATATTCTACTTGGTTTGTTTCTATTATTATTATTTCAAATCTCTTGCTTTCCTTTTTATGGTTGCATGGTTTGCCAAATTAGCCGAATTCGTGCCAGTCCTTGTGTTGTTAATGTTTTACCGATGTACTGATTGAGATGTTTTTTGTGTTAACACAACTCAGGATTTCTATACAAGTTTGTATCCTAGATTGTAAAGTGCATAATATTACAAATACTTACGCGCGCGAGACCGATAGGTCCTTGGTTCGAACCTCGTGTGGCGAGATCGTGGATGTGCACTGCTGAGGAGTCCCATACTAGGATGAAACGACCGCCCAATGCTTACAGGTTTTCCATGGTGTTCTAGCTTCAATTGGCCCATGAATTCGACTATTAACTTAATATTTATGTCCATAACTAACCAATCATATCGCTGCTTAAACGCTCATCACATCAACCTGGTCTGATGTGTATGTAGACTATCCCTGTTTCATGTGACCTGGCATTTGAAGGAAACTATTGTTCTATCACATTAGTGTGACTGCAAATCATTTTTTATTCATTTCGATAAGATACGTAATCCTAGTCGGTATGCTTGTGTGTTTCACTTAATGACTATAATTCCTTTAATTATTGTACTAGTTGAATTGTTTTTGACGTTTAGAGACAGACAGTTTAAAGCCAAGTTGTTCTTATTCTGACCATAACTTTCATATAAACTCTGGATCTTCAGTATCGCGTTTACAGTTCTGGTAGAATATCTGTAGGAAAAATCTTACATACTAATGATGCTTATTCGAGGACTTAAACAGAAGTAATGTTGATGTTAGTTACGGGTTACCAGGTAAATGTAGCGGCTTCGTTGGTGAAACTATCAACCTTCATTGATTGCAGTGGTTATGATCTGTATTAGGCATGTCCACTCACTGATAACCGTGATGGGGAATGTCTAGTTTAGGATTACGTTGGAATAAAGCTCGTGCCAGCCAAACCAGGACATTGTATCAGTCCATGAAGTCATTGATTGTTGATCTGGGCCACATTGTTAGGTGAAGATTATGTGATTGATGCCGGAGCGATAACCGGAACTTGTGACTAGAGGCGTTGTATGACATAACTAATAACCGTTCATGATATCGCATAGACATTCACTTTCTATTTTATTCTCAATATTGAATTTTAGTATTCCTTCATATGTACCTTTACTATCTTTTCTCGATGCATAGTCTTTTCATCATCATTATTACTACATTACTTCAGTCTCTTTTACTACAAGTCTTATTAATTTGGTCTCATAGCGGTGATATAGTATAGCAACTTGAGCCAACGCACATCTGTCAGGCTCTGCGTTGATGACTAGTGGACTCAAACAGGATAGCGGTTGAACTTATTTTCACTAATTCAAAGTGGAGTTCTTAAGTAGTAGTTGTACAATTGTTCTTACAGTTCTCAAGATATTTTGTACATGAATGATTAAATTATATCATCAAAAATTAAATTTCCCATTGTCCTCTCATATTATTGATGCTGTTCTATTATTACTGTCATCAATAGATCATACCTAATACATAATTATACTTTTACTTCGAAACGCTTAATTCACAGGCTACGATGTCGCATAAAAATCACCCCAAACTTTTGGATCAACTACAGTATTGTGAATCAACTGGTATTCCTTTGGCCGTTGTTCTAGGAGGAAGTGAACTAGCTCGTAACACTGTCAAGTTGAGAGATATTCAAACCCGAGAAGAATATGAAGTTTTGTACACAGATCTTGTGAATAAGATCAAAGAAGTACTATCTACCAAATACCATAAATAAAACTTTGCTACATATTGTATTTGTCTGTATGTTGTTGCATCTCATAATCTTGTATCGTTTGACGTAATTTACCAATACAATTTTGTCTCGGAAGTAACTACAATAAACTTATTGGGATTCTAATTAATTACGTATCATTTCCTTCTGTTTAGAAGCATGGTTCCACTATCAAAAACCTGTATTTAGATATTTATCGTATAAGGAAGATACTGGGAATTAATGGTTAGAGATAGACGGCTAAAAATCAATTTTGGTAGCACAAATGTTTCCATTCTTATCATTTCACTTAATATTACTCTTTTTTTCGTTGATTTCACCGTACGGTACTATGAAGTAAGACGACATTTTGGTATTGATATCTTGTGTGACTTATTTACGATTTTTTTTCACACTAGTGTTATTTCACACTTTACCGTTATCACTATATAGTCAATTCATGAGGGAACTTTCAAAATTACCATATAGCTTTAAAGTAAGAGAAACTTTTGAAAATTTATTTCAACTATTATTTCTGTTTATACTGGTCCTTTCTAAAGTTATTATGTAGGTCTCTGATTTGCGCTAGAGTCTTAAATAATAACGATGACTATCACTGAGTGTTAAACTCAAAATTATGTACAAAACAAAATTGGATTTTTCAGTACCATCCATGACAAAAAATTCAACGCCTATCAGACAGCTATTTTACCCTAGCCTATAACTTCTCAGTAGTAACTGTTTATATTACGGTCACCAAGTCAAGTTCACAATTTCAGTCTGTTCGTTATTACATCCGATTATCATCTACTTTTATCGGTAGTCATCCTCTGTACCTTTAAGTCGATTGACTCTCTAGCTCAAGGCTTTGCAATGAAGTATGGAAATACCCGTTTCCGAGACATTCATGTTTAATCTGTTTTCTTACCAAAAACGAAGCTTCGATGAGATAACCTTTATAAATTGGTAAGATGATGAAATCCATATAGCAACGACAGGACGAGAGTGACAGTATATCATAACTAATTAACCACTTCATTGTATAAGTATAAATGTTTACCATCCTGCAACTGTATACCTTGATACTCATTTGAATCTAATCATTAGGAATGTATGATTTAATCGTTGGGAAATACTGCTAATTGATCACCGTTTTATATCTCGAGTTGATAGAAATATTTTATCCTTAACTCCGACTGGAAACGTATGATTGGACACTAACGGTCAAGTGTGTGCTGTGACAACTGAAGTCCTGGGTTCAATCCCTAGTGGAACCATGGGTATGCACTGATGACGAGTCCCGTACTAGGATGAGGCTATCCAGTCCTCTATGGTTGTCTAGCCACAGTCAGTCCGTGAAGTAAGCTACGGGAGATTTATATCTAATGCTATTTGTAGGAGAAACAGATGTCACCTGAGCATGTTATGCTCTTTAGTTAAGGAACGACGTTCAACAGGCAATCAATCGCTTAATATTAACATCACGAAATCATTGATCCGACACTTAACATTAATAATAATTTTAGTTTGATATAACCTAATGATTAAATGTCCATTTACTATGTGGATTAACTAATAAGCTATCTTATTATTACATCAGGATTATATACCGTTAACATTTTTTCGAAGAACTAATGCCTTGAAACTTGCAGATCTAACCTCATAAGTTGTCATAGTATGCTTCTGATTCATAATGAATTATTGAATAGGACCACGAGGCATTCTTGTTGAGAATATGGGACGATGAGTCATAGAAACTATGTTTAAATCAAAGAAGTTTATACAAAACATCTATCTAATTAGTGGTCATACGCTTGTTATTGACTAGCTTCGTGATGTATTTCTCAAAGTCATGATGGGAAGCTGTGGATTGTAAAGTCAAACAAATCGGGTGTGAGCTAACTGCTGTCTCGCCATTTCACAAAATGTAGACAAATTGATTCTGATTCAGGGATTTGGAAGGGCTATACTCACTGTAAAATGTCTCTTTTACAGTCGTGGACGTATATTGCTATAAAGCCCCTAAATAGGATGAAACGGTTGTCCAGTACTCCTTTGATTCTCCCAACCTCCTCAAGTGCACACCAAACATTCACTCAAACTATTGTCAAATTATATAAAATATCTAATCAGAATTTACAGTAACCTCATACTTATCTCACCTTTTAATTTGTCACAATATAAATCACAAATTAATCACAGTTTATTGTGATGGGGAGTTCAGGACAATAAATAATCGTCAGTCCATAATTTCCACTTCTTCATCAGCTAGTGTAAACCAGTTTTTTGAAGTTAATGAATAGAGTTAGAATACTTGTTGGTTGGGACAATTTATTTCTACTTGTTTTATTGAAAAATGTTATCTACACTCTAACTTCTGTTTGTTTACAGAGAAGACATCTGTCGAAGAATCAATTATGAACAACTATTGATAATTAATACAATATTCTGCCAAAATAACATATAATGAGTACTCCATATTGTTAATTTAATTCAAGTGTCTAAGTATTACAGCCTGATGTATACAAAAATAAAATATTCAGTGGAAAGGTTGAATTAAGTATTCGATAGTAGATTGCTTAAGAAAAGTATGGATTTCATGTTGAAATGTATCATAATAGATCGGGTTTCTTTGAAGGGAACAGTAGGTGAATATACATCAATTAACTGATAAACTGAAAAGTGGTAGAGAGATAGAAAATGGAGACGTTTTGTTGTATGTGGAAAGACTTGTATTAATGATATATAAATATGTTGGTTAGCATTGACAGTTATCGCTGTTTTCCTTTTCGTTCCGAACATCACGATTAAAGGTTTGATCACTCTGAAATTTCGTTGGTGACGGAGGCGACGATGAAGTTGTTCTTTGACAAAAACATGAAAGACATGGTGCATCTGTACTTTCTAAAGTCTCTGAATAAATGAAATTACCAATTGTCGCTAGAATACCACCGAATATTGCCAAACTACCTACAATATACACCTGTATATGTCTATAAGTTAACTGAGGTACACAGAGTTGTATGCATTGAATGAAGACACCAGTCAAGATTTTATCAAAAAATGATGCGATCCCATGAACAAATGCTGCTGTGTGTACTTGTTTTACACCGATCAATGTTGCGATCACAACCAATGCTCGAACATTATTGATTGTGTTTCCAATGCCTAGAATGGCTGCAGCAAAATATATTGCTACGAAGTTTTCATCGGCTGATTTTAAAAAGTAAGCGATTGTACAAAATCCAAGGATAAATAGAACACCGACGACTGAGCCAATCTAAAATTAAAAAGGCATGTACGATTTTTAGCGGAACATTTACACACTCAAGGAGGTATAAGCTATATCTATCTATCATGTTATAAGATAGACAAACGTGCTGAGTTCTTCAAAATGCTCATCGAAATTCACGTATGAATAGTAAAGCCATCGCGAGAATATATTGCATCAAGTCAAGCCAATCATTGGGAAGATGAGTAATTGATCATTTAGAGTAATATCAACTAGCGATAAACATTTAAAATTCTACTCTGAAATCTTTAAAGCCATGATGTGTTATGTGTGAGTGGTCGGTTTGCATACTAATACCTCACTGGTGATGTTTGTCGAGACTAACTGACCAACATATGAAAAACTGCAGCTCCTTAAAATTGATAAGATGCAATCCATTGATTGTATTTAAATTAATTTAATTGATTAGATTTTGTGTTAATTATATGACATAATAGTTATATGATATCCAGTCCTACTGCTTTCTCTCAACTGTCTCCGAAATTTTAAAATATCAAAGAATGCAAGATGAGCACCAATGTGTTTGTGAGTTAACTTTTGCCTAGTTGTGAGTTAGAACTCGTTATCTGCATAGTAAATACTCTCTGACTTTGCATGATTCTATTGATAATATCAGTCAGTAACGAAATCCACCTTCACAGTGTCTACTTCGTTTCATTATTCATTGGTGAGTTTCCATCTCTGTGCATTCACTTGTCATGACTAATTGACCAACATATGTGAAAAACTGCAGCTCCTTAAAACTAATAAGATACAATCCATTGAATGTGGACAAATTATTTCAAGTGATTCGATTGTGTGTTAGTTGTGTGATGAATTAAGTAAGATTCGAAACTGCTGACCATTGCTTAAGAAATACTGAATTGAACTTCGCGTTACATGAGTAAAGAGTAAATAGCTATGTATAATGAAAGAACTACTCTAATCTTAATTACCATTGCCTTATTGAAAACTGTGAATTCAATGGTGAGTTGATAAGTGTTGGAAATATATTAAGTTATAGATAAAATGTCTAACTTAATCTGTTGTCTAATTCAACCTCATGTGCTGCATCATATGTCTCGATATTGGACGGTGCTTCCAGATACTTACAGATGTCCGAGTGTTTGAGTTAAGCTACCCATAAGTGTGTTACTTCGATACAGCCTTCTGCAATACAAACTGCCACGTGAGACTTTCTCAGAGTACGTCAAACACATCATCTATATCAGCCGATGTAATTATTATGATTATTCTTCAGTATCTGAGTAACATTAATAATTCTGTTGATTCACTCATGACTGAAGCTGCAATCTGTTTGATTGATAAAGTTGTTTTCTTTGCCTTTATCACATGAGACGTTTGGCCAGTTAGGTCCTTTCGGCTCAATGTCGATCTACTACTCAGACTACTTGTTGACACCGACAAATCAAAATGTAGTCGTAAACCATATGCATTATTTGTCAATGTGTTCTGTTTAACATCGTGTGAGGCCTCATTCCAGATCTCTTCAACACCATAAAATTCAAGAGTGATATTCTTATAGTTATGGACTCGAATTGTTCTTTCCCGATCGAAGCCTCATCAGGTCTTACAATTACAGTTCATTTTTGCAAACATCTATTAACACTTAGATTATTCTAAACGTTTTGAAACAGTTTAAATATTACGTTAAACGGTTTATAGTGGAGAGAACCTGTTAATATTTCATTGCGGATTGTAGACAGACAGATCAAGCTGTATTCGAATGACAAATAAATCATGAATGAAGTTTAAAATGTAGTCAACCAAACTGTTATGAATCAGCGCTTAACAAAATGTGAAATATTTTTCAGTAATAAAGTTTTAACTTGATTTCAATGTTATTGAAATCGTCAATT